ATATTTTGTCAAGGAATAAGCAAATGGGCGATGTTGTGTTTTACTAGCAATGTGTTGTATAAACAACCTCTTAAATGTTCGAATCGACCAATCAGAATCAAGTATTACAGGAGGGAGTTGTTCATTTAATTTGAATTTTTTTATTGAATTTTTTGTTTTCTGAAGAGGAAGGATGTTTTCAAAACATGTTTAATCGAGTTTTTACCTCGTGTCAGATTGTATATGTGTGTCTAGATATATATACTGTATATATATATATATATATATATATATATGTCTAGAGAGGTTTGGCCCTAATCATGCAACATTTCATACCGTCCTGTCGGGGATCAATGACAGAAATAAGGACATTATAAAGCACTTAAATTATACGTAATAAAAGCCATTAGGTACTGCAGTTTACCCGTTAAAGCTTTTAGTTTGCGTTCAACTTCCAATCAATCCAAAGCACTGAACAACTAAGTTTCCTGATGTGCCAACATTAAAGACAATTCTCTATTAGATGCTATACATATTCAACTCCACTGTAATATAATGTATGTATTTTAAAAGAGAAACTTCATTATTTGTCAACCCCAAATGTATAATTGGTTCATTATTGAGTGAGAGTTACTGTTCAAATGTTTATATCAGGGTGTCTTTGCTCTAAAGGGCCCCTACTATGCTTTTTATTGCTTACATAATACTGGACACATTTCAAAAACTGTCTGGTGGGGGTGGGGCAGTGCATGTAAACATTTATAAATAAAGCACATACTTTTAAAAGACTTAAAATAGTCAACACTCAAGAAATTGTGTTTTTCAAGGATGGTACAGTGGTGGTATGAATGTGGCTTTCTGTTAAACACCTTGATAGCTCTCTTGTACAGCTGCTCTATGGGTCTTAGGTTTGTGGCAAAGGCAAACGACCAGTTTGTCAAACAGTATTCAATGTGGGATAGAATCATACAGTGGAGGTATGACTAACTGGTCGTTTGCCTTTGCCACAAACCTAAGACCCATAGAGCAGCTGTANGCACAATTGTTTTTTGTACCTAGTTACGATCACACAGCTGTTGTCTTCTGTTGTCTTCTTCGCAACTTGTACTGCCCTGATGAATCTTACTCGTCATCACTGGTTCCTGGTGCTTCGGAATCATTAATACCTCGACCGATCCGCAAGTTACCGCTCTCCCCCTTGTGTCCCCCGTGTTACGTCACACGCGGGAGGTCACGTGCCGAGGCTTTTTTATGCGGAAGTGAACATTTCTTACAAAAACGACGCCAGATGTCACTGTAGTGTATATTTCTGTATATATTTTTGAAAATCTAGTGTATTCATCATTTTCCTACACATTTATTCGCAGGTTTCTTTAACCTGGAAGTTGCTCTTTAACATCCCGATAGCAATGAATATCTTAAGTGCTTTGACAAAAATTCCATACAAAAATGTCATCTGTGGAAGCCGTAATACTGTAAAAAGCACGACCAATCATTTTAGCTGCCCCGGCTAAAATAACTGGATGGCATACCTGCCTGTCAGCTTTCCATCCGTGCACAAATTATCTCGTGCCCTCATTGGTCATGTGTGCGTTCATGTGCGTTCGTATGTGTTGGAGGAGGGGCTCTGTAAGGAAGTGGCAGATTTCTTCCGGCCGTGTATTTTCAAATTCTAGCGCACTCTAGCTGGTTTCTCCAAAATGACCTACCCCACCTTTAACTCTCAATGCTGCAAAGTCATACCTCCACTGTATGATTCTATCCCACATTGAATACTGTTTGACAAACTGGTCGTTTGCCTTTGCCACAAACCTAAGACCCATAGAGCAGCTGTACAAGAGAGCTATCAAGGTGTTTAACAGAAAGCCACATTCATACCACCACTGTACCATCCTTNTCAAAACACTAAGACACGTTTGGTATGAGAAGTGATAAAAATACATTTGTGACGTTCTTGTTTTGTTTGAACAAACATTGTTCTAGTGAAACTCTGCTATAATATTATCTCATGTTCAATTTTTGACTTCATTGTGACGGCCGTTAGTTTTCTGTGTTCTCAGTAAATGTGATTCTTGCTGCTGTAATAATCTGAGCTGTAAACTTAAAACTTGCTTTCTAGTTTCTCATTTCATTTAATTGTTTAGTTGAATAGGGACAATGCACATTCATGTCCATGTAAACATTTATAATAAAAAACACATACTTTTAAAATACTTTAAATTGTCAAAACTCAAGAAATTGTGTTTTTCAAGGATGGTACAGTGGTGGTATGAATGTGGCTTTCTGTCAAACACCTGGATAGCTCTCTTGTACAGCTGCTCTATGGGTTTCAGGTTTGTGGCACAAGCAAACGACCAGTTTGTCAAACAGTATTCAATGTGGGATAGAATCATACAGTGGAGGTATGACTTTGCAGCATTGACAGTTCAGAAAGGTCTGATTTGTTTAACATTTTGCAAGTTGAATTTAAATTTCACTCATTTCAATTTGTACACCATCTCTTCTGAGTGGTCCTCTTTTGCATAGTAATACATATTATCTAGTCAGTTTTAAGATAAAGTGGCAACAATTAAATCCAAAAATGTTGGGTTAGAAGGAGTTCTGGTTCCTCCATACTACTGAAATACGAACTGAGTCCAACATTTCTTACTGCGGGTCCACTAACAGTTGAGATTAAATTTTAACATTTGGTGTTAATGACCACGAGTATGTATCATACCCATTTACAGAGTGTGTACCACTTTGGGTTGTGAGACGAGGAAAATGTACAGTGGGGCAATTATTCTTGTAATTATTGAACAGTTAACGTATACTGGCTGCTTGTGTTAATGTGGCTATGAACCAGTGATGCTTAATATCAAACAGAAAATGAAAATCTGAAATGTTTCACGAACTCAGAAGCTGCACGGTCACAAGTTTAAAACACAAGTGTCACAATTTGGTCATATTTAAAAAACTAAAATTAGCCGCAGTCCTCCACTGAGCAGAGATGTGATAGAACAATAACCTACCCATAGACAGAAGATGACAATAAGCATTTTGCTTAGTATAAATTCCAAATTTTGGAGCATTTACATGATATTTATGTTAATGAATTAGTGAGTTTTAGCAAAAACATGTGTAAACTTACAGGATATCATGAGATAATCCCCACAGCCATCTTGGTCATCGTCCTGCTCCTCAGGGTCCAGCCCATCTTCAGGGATGTCTCCCATGGCAACTCCTTCCTCATCGCCGTCAAGAGCCATCACGCAGGTTTCCACTGCTACGTCCTCGTCTTCATCGCAGTGCACATACTCAGATACCACATCCTCGACAGCGTCCTGGATGACGAGCTCGTCTGGCGCGAACCTGTGAACAGCCATGCCTTCGCCTTCGCCTTCGCCCTCGCCCTCGCCTTCGGACACCAACACTGTCTCTTGAAGCTCCACAACAAACTCCTGCCCGCCGGCACCACCCTCATCTGGAAGAAGCAGGATTACCCAGATAACGATATTAGTGTTTGTGGATTTATTTAAAATGGTAACTATATTACTGGTTTACTACAGACACCAGACCATTATTTGAATAAGAATTGACACATACCAAAAACAAACATTGTGTAAATAAAAAAATAAAAAAAGACTAATTACCCGATCCGTGTAATATTATTTTAGGCTCTTCAGAATGTATTGATAGCCTGGTGACATCCTCATCCATTGTCCTCACACTGCATTTGTTAGTGGAGCGCTGAAAGCAAAGGATAGAAAGTCTGTTTAGATCTTTGTGAACAAAACTGTTTGAAACAAAGTTAAACATAATCAAAATCAGGTGTTCATGGTAATTCATGTGATTTGAAATAACCAGGAAACAAAGATTCTCAAACAAGATTTGAACGTGAATGTTAACCTGAACAGAATCAAGTCATCTATTTAACAGATCTGGCAAGGGAAAGCCACAATGAGCCTGTTATCCTTTGCTTTTTGAAGAGGCAACTTAATGTGTGTTTGGCCAATATGTTGATAATTTGACTCACATGATAAAGAGACCACCGGCCTTGTGTTACACAGCTATTGCAGCCTGAGCAACACCTAACAGCTGAAACACATCCATCTTTAAAGACTGTAGTCTGTTGAGTTTTTTTTCAGGAAAACATGGAATTGACTGCTGTCACCTTGATAACGTAAACATTGTGCACATGTGACATTTTCAAAACCTCACTACATATTGGGTTGAGGCCAAAATGTGTCCAACTCTGTATACCCATATATTAAAAACTAGCATAAAATATATTTACAATTTGTACTTCACAATACTCAATCATATCAAAACTAGTGTAGAAACCTAAAGCAACTCAGTTCTAAAATACATTACCTTCAATTCATATTATGCTGTCAGTTGTGTTCTTGTTAAAACCAACCAACTACCCTATTTTACTTCACACTTTGCAGAGTTATATTCTGCTGCTGCAATGAACAGGTTCCTCTATGAAGAGTTGTATTTGATTTGTTAAAGTCACCTGAATAAATCTGACATCACAGCTGAATTGAGTGTATATATGAGAGGGGAGGCATTTAAATTAACATGTGGAATACAGTTGTGCAATGTTAGCTTGTGTCTGCCGCAAAGGACATCAAGTGGCATAATTGCACTGTCTGCATCACTAGATCAGCAGCTACAACAACTAAACAAATCGTTCAACCAAAATGGCAATAGTGTTTCCTTCACCATAGAGATAATGTGCGATTGAAATATCTCCCCGTTACACACAGGGGGGGTGCAGAAATGTAAACAGTGGTGTGAACGATGCAGCCGGGGTGCCATTTAATTTCCACTGAATGTACCATCCCCCACCTCCAGGTGGAAAATGATAACAACGGTGTGTGGAGATGTGGCGCACAACACAGGGCATCGGGGGTGTACTGAAAATAAGCTGCCAACACATTAAAACCAGGGTGGTCTCACTAACTTAGCCTGCGTTACACATTCACGCCAGACTAGACACAGTGTAAAGCACGAAGAGCTGATTAACGGTAATGTCCTCAACTGACCACTGGAGCAGCTTTAGCACTGATTACACACGCAAAGCCCCGATTTTTATTGCAAAATCACAACTTTAAGCAAAGAAAGGTTGCACCCACATGCACAAAGGAGGATAAAACTCCTAAATAAATGAGAAAGATTAGTCTAGATTTACACTTTAGCGAATCTGCAGCAGCAAGCTAGCGGGAGGAGCGCTAAACACACTCGTTTTCTACAACCGATTTTCATCACACTAGCATCCGCCATTTTGTTAGCTTGGTTTCTGGACGAATGCTAATTCAACACTTAATGAAAATACACCTCGGCGATGAGAAATAGCTAATTGGATTCTGTTGATAGCTATAACGCTCATTAAATCTTGTATTTCATCCCAAATAACGTAAGCCATGGATATACAAAATACATATAAAACCATATTTTCAGCGGGAATGCTAGCTAACAGGATAGGCCTGAATTACCAATTACGGCCTCTATGGGGGCCCGGGCCTGAGAAGAAAAGGCCCAACCCTTTGCGGCCTCTCGGTGACAATGAAGAAATAAATTAAAATACCACATGCATGCAAAAACAAAGACACACGGACACGCACAAATGCAAACATAGTTCTGCAAACGTGTGGCCCGGAGCAAAAAATGACCCGCGTACCAGATGTATGCTGCAGGGATGGCCTCCGTCCACACCTCGGCTTCCCAGGCCGCCTGGTTCCCCCAGACTCGGGCTGGATTCAGTCGGGAATTTTGTGTTATTTGGGCGGGCCGGAGAGGAGCGGAGAAGGAGGGGTTATGGGTTGTTTCTGGAGCTCGGCTGAAAGCAAAGCAGGACGTATGGAGCCAGTTCTTGTCATGCTACAGCCCCCTGCTCCTCCAGCTCCGAGGCCGCCGTCAGCACGACACGTCACAGCCCGAGAGCAGCAGGAAAATGCGGAAGGGTTGTGGTGGAAATCACACCGGCAGGCACCAAACAGGCCATAATGTGAGCACCGCTGTTCTAACGGGTTATGTCAAGACGTGCAATGCAGTGTTAATTTTAATTAGTTTGAGCCCGAGGTTGATGTAGCTAGTAATGGGCTGAGAGCTGCTTCGTTTCCCCCAACAGTAGACGTGTAACTATGCAGCGAAGAAGTGTATAATAACAAGAGATTATACTATGTCCTCCAAACCGAGAGCATCCAACATTTAAACAAATAGCTGACATGTTTCCAATTAAACACTATCACAGTTTCAGTTTCATCCTGACTGCATTAAACCTTACTGTTTCTTCACACGAACCTCAGCCTCCTGGTCAATTAACTTAAAAAGTCCAATAAATCTTAACATAATATTTTATGGGATCCAATAAGATATTTGTGATGCATGCATAGGTAATAGAAAATAAAAAGGAAATATTCCACATCTCATCAACAACACTGGAAGAAAACATTTACTTCTACTTAAGTACAAATTTGATGTATTACTTAGTACTTTATATGAGTACCGGTAGTTTTACAATATATTTGTTTAAAATTTGATTTATATCTGTATGGTCATTTTTATCATGCACTTTTCTTTTACCTAATTAAAGGCCATCAAAACTTGACCAGTCATTCTAAGCCACTCGCACATGAGGATACATATTGTTTTGTAACAGGATATTTGTAATACTACAACAAAAAGTAAATTCCTAGTCAGACTTACGTCAGTCTCTAAACTAAAATCATTATGTGAAAATCCCAGATTTCTGGTACTTCCTGGGTATCTTTTAAATCAGAAGTTATTTCAAGAGTTGGATTTATTGTAATGGCAGTACAGAATATAAATGCAAAAAGTCAAAAACAACAGATGTGTTCTTCAAATAACTACTCTAGTGTTCCTGGTCTGCGGGAAAGGGCAACACAAAGGGTTGCAACAGAAGAGAGAGGTGCTGATTCGTTCATTTAAAAAAAGGAACCAAAATTCTGTTACACAAAATCAAGTTTATTGTTTTTGACTCAAATGTGTCACTACAGGCCTCCAGAAGTATAGCTATTCCCAAAATATCAGTATTCATTCAGCAGAGGTTTTGCTACATTTCAGATGACATTACAGAAACAGGATCAAATGTATTAAGACTGAATGAAAAAAACATGATTATTGCTATCACAAACTGTCAGAACAAGTAATTCAACAGTACATAAACTCTTATTTGGCAGTCATTTTCAGCAGATCATCCTTTTCAATCTCAAAAAGACGCCAGCCCTCCTCAGACGAGAGATCAGCTGCTCCTCTTCGCTTGTAGAACTCAATAGACTTTGTGTTGTTTTCTGCTACAAGGAAGTGCATGCCGCTACAGCGAGTCTTCACTGCCTTCTAAAGTGTGACAAAAAAACAAAACATAAAACACAAAGACATAAAGTATTGAACTCAGTTGAATAGAGTTGCATCTGTCACCAAATAAACACTTGGTTATCGTACCTCACTCAGGACCTTCAGAATTTTTGAACCAATGCCCAAACCTATTGAAAGAGAAAATGTTAAAAATTCTCCCCTTAAGACTCTTTTACTCATTAACCTTTACTACCATTATATAACAGTACATATTGTCAATCTCACCTCGAAACTCCTGCATGACGTAAAAGTCTTCCAAGTAGAGCAGCTTTCCAATCCAAGGGTCATATGTGAAGTAGTACATGGCAAATCCAATCACAGTGTACCCTGGAAGAAAACACCATAAATTAGAGGTAAAACTAACAAGGTTAAAGTATTTTGAAATAGGACTATTTCAATTTAAAGAGTTTTGTGTTAGATATGTTTTTACCTTCTGAGCTCTGCAATTTTGGGACTTCAGCAACCAAACAGTGGTAGAATGGGTGATCTCCGAAGCCATCTTCAAGGAGATCTGCAAGAGAGACATTTATTTCATTATAATGTATGAAGAAGATTGAAATAATATTTGGAAAATCCTGTTAAATGTATGCACATAATGTTAAAGAGGGTTAAAGAACCTTTCTCTGTCAGCACGACTTTCTCCTCCATTTCCTCAAACTTAGCCAGTTCCTTAAAGGCAAACAAAGAAACACAAATTCAGTTTTCAAACTTGAAACACAATTGATTAACAGAGATTACAGTAATCCAGTCACATGTCACAATTGTCCTTTTGTTAAAAATATTAGACTTTAACATTTCCCTTACCTTTATGAGTCGCATGATATCGGGCACGTCTCTGGGTTCAGCTTTCCGTAATATAAAACTGGCCATTTTCTCCTTTTCCCCTTTTTCCCTTTTCTTACTAATCCTCGGAATGTGAATATAAGCAAAATTTGTTTCGTCATTCGCTACTCAGGAGTACATCCCCCGACAAAGAATAAAGAAGCCGTATACAGAACTACATTGGCTGGGTCACAAAAGTGGTACAGCAAGCTCACCGAGTTCCCTTTTATATGTCACTGAGGAAGTGACTCAATAATCCATATATGGTCAACAGTCTTTTAAATCCTGTTTCTCTTTTCCTGCTGACCCCTTATCATTGTGTTGATCATTGTACTTCATTTGCATGTTGTAAGGTAATGATTAACCGAACCTGGAAAAAAAACAGGTCAGGCGCTTAATGGCTATAGGGTTGATTAAAGATTAACCCATGGGACATAGAGTGCAATTTCTATACATGTCATGATAAATTGTCCTTCTGCAGGTCCCAATTGCATCTTTTTAGACAGTCAAACTAATATTTGCCTTGCTCAAAAAAACTTTTATTGATCTATTTATGCAAATCTGAGTTGAATCAATAAAAATGTTGGAGGAGGGGACAGACAAGGCTGCGATTATTTTTGACATACTGCATCAAAGCGTAGTATGCCAGCTGCACCAGGAACACATACTGTAGCTCTGAACAGGATCATTAAGACATTCTTTAACATCATTGGGACACAGATGGCTTCAATAGAGGAAATGTACTACCTGATGTCAGTGCAAGGCCTTAATCATCATCCGTGACCCAGCTTCACCTGCACACCACGTAACAAAATGATTTTCTTTCAGTAGACCATACAGGACAATAAATGGACGCACCACAAGACAGATAATCGACCACTGTAACTACTTGTATTTTGTTATCAACCAAGCCACTTTTCCTTGCTTACAACTTGTAGAAAATGTGGCATCCAGAATCCTGTGCCAATGTTGTAAAAAGAAAACATATTACGCCTGTAAAAACACTCAACAATTGGTTTTAAAATCCCTACAGTGTGTTTATGTTTGCGTTTGAAGCCCTGCATGGTCTCGCTATTTTTCAGAACCTCTATCCTCATACAGTACAGCCACAGCTGATAACCATCCCATGATCTTTTATGAAAACCTTTTTTTTTTAAAAACATCTTCCTGTGTAACCATATAAGGTATGGCTTATTTGAAGATGTCCTAAATTACTAAGTCTGCTGTGTTAACCACACTATACAATGCAAACATATCAAAACGTCCCATAACTGGCCTAGCAAGTATGCTAATGTGTCGGATGACTCTTTGTAATGAGAACTTGCTAGTGAGCATCTGGCAGCCACTGGGTGAATTCACATCATGACAGCTGTTTATTCCCAGTGTGATTCAGGCTTCTGCACTAATGTAAACCAAAGGCATGAGCTTAGCAAGGATCTAAAATAGCAGACAGACAGCATTTTATGAAAACACTTTTTTATTTGGACTTTCGGTATTTGACAGACTGGGCCGAGTGTAACGCAGATCAGTTCAGTTTATCAAAATACTTCAGCTTGCCTGAAGGGTCGGGAATGATCTGTGGGAGAGAAGTAATTCAATTAGTTCACAATTACACTTTCTTATAATATTATACTTGACAATAGAAATATGCTAAACATGCTATAAACTAGTCTGCCATGTGTTTCCCAATTATTTCTCCAACCCCAAATCTGCTGTGAGGGAACAATATATATGGAGGCAGTCTGTTTCCTTTAACTTAGTCATGAAATATAAATATATTTTCAAAAAAAGACAGTATTAGTTGTTGCAGTAACTGGTTGCACACCGACTAAATGGCATATACGTGCTACTTTGTCTATGTATCTATCATAGAAAAACGTAGTTAGTGACAAATGATCCTAATCATTCACAGCCTCACTGATACTCACTGTGTCACTGCCTGGCTTCCATCCTGCTGGACACACTGTAAAGAAAAAATGACAGACAATTAGAGTCAACACAAGAAAAACAGCTTGAATAATACATTAACAACTGGCTATTAGTTGCCAGGTAATGCGTTTAAATGAGCTTCTTTTACCTTCTCCGTGTTTGTCAGTGTACTGGAAGGCCTGGACGAGCCGCAGAGTCTCATCCACAGATCTTCCCACGGGGAGATCGTTCATGGTGATCTGCCTCAGGATGCCTTTGTCGTCGATGATGAAAAGCCCTCTGAGAGACACAGGGACACGGAGTGAGATTTAAGATTTACTGAAATCTGTAATCTGTACACTCTCAAACATTTGCATAGTTGATAAAAGAATCAGCTATCTATGAGATATAAGTTATGGAGCATATTTGTCCACATGCAGAAACATCAAATGTGTTTTATCTACAGTTAAAAAGTGTTTCATGCCTGCTTCGACTGTTGTTTGTTTTTAAAGCACCTCAAGGATACATAACAGGGTTTGATTAAGCCTATAAACCTTTGATAAAGGCCATACATGTAATTGTGTAATCGTACCTCAGTGAGTGTCCCTGGTCCTCCAGGTAGACTCCATAGTTTTTAGAAATCTGGTGCGTGAGGTCAGACAGCAGAGGGATTTTCATTGGGCCAAGTCCACCTTCCTTTCTGGCAGTATTTATCCTGTTAATAACACAAATTGAAAAAGGAAAATTTCAGGTGTTGTAAAAAACAAAAGTTATTATCAAACGAAAAATAAAAAATCAATGGGGGAAAAAAAAAAATGGTAAAACAACTAAATGAAGCACTTCTCCCCTCAACTATAAAATAAATCAATTATGATAAATAGATGTATTTGTTTGTTTGAGAAATGTATAATTATCTTATGACAGGTTCCTAATATTTTCTGGTTTCTTTACTCATATGAGAGTAAAGTCAATATCCTTGAGATGTGGATAATACAAGATGTTTGAAGACCTCATCTTGGGCTTTGGGAAACACTGATTGTTATTTATTACCATTTATAGACCAAGTAACGAATCAAATAGTCGTGAAAATATAAATTGACCAAGAAAGAAAACCTAAGATGCAACCGTAAACACTTTAGTCAGTCTACTACAGAATCTACTAATGGACGTTTGTTTTTATTAGGTTTTATCTGAAGCCATTCAAGTCTTGGAGCATATTGTGTGTGTAGGGGAACAGGGTCTCACCAGGCCAGGTGGGTGAACTGGGAGTCGATGGAGCAGGCAACCACCTCGGTGTTGATGGCTTTGAACTCATGCACACGATCGCTGAATGCAATGATCTCAGTGGGGCAGACAAATGTGCTGCAGAACAAAAAACGTCACATTTATATCAGAATAAATTCGCAACAACACAAACAGGGTGATAAATAATGTGTGTCTGAGATATTACTCACAAGTCCAGAGGATAGAAGAAGAAGACAAGATATTTGCCTTTGTAATCTGACAGCTTCGCCTCCTTGAATTCGCCATCAATGACAGCTGTTCCTTCCCAGTGCGGCGCAGGCTTTGAGACTGAGTTGGAAAGCAAAACATATGGTAGGAAGGAATAGATATAGTTTAACTGTGTCATTTAAAGATATCGTTGGATGTGTGTTTTGAAATGCTGATTTAACTCCAATATATGTTTTGAGGTCATAAGGTTGTTGATATAAACTTAACTCTAATGCAACTAAATGTACTTTTAAAATTTGTCATTTTATCTCCATGTCTGCAGTATTTGTGTATATACACAATATCACAATATTTTGTTCTGCATTATTATACAACTCATATTGGTCAGCATTGAACCACTATATAACAATTATTTTCCTTTGCCTAAATATGTTCTTCCAAATGTTTTTATTATTATTTTTCTCGATGTTAAAAGATTCTGCTCAATTATATTATACATTAATACCACTCCATGGAGATGTCAACAAAGCATCTTGGTTTTGATAAATAATTAAATCTATATGACTCCGGTTCTTGTTGGCCATTTGTTTGCAGTTCTCTTACATCTGGCATTCAAATGTGATCATTATTTACTTTTCAGACCATTTTGTATTAAGTTGCATATGTTTTATACATGGAATTATGTCTCAACTGCAATGGGGAACCCTGCAAAGCCATGGGGTCAGAAGTCTGAAAACTAATGAAGACCCATCCAAAAAAAAAAAAGAGTCAACACTGAATACGTGCAGGGGAATAGTTGACCTAAGCATTATGCCAAAGTTACTCTTGTATTTGTCTGCATAATATATCTAGTCACGCATGACCACGTGAGTTTTACGGCCACTGATAGTTTCTAAGTTTTTCAGTTATGTTGTCCAACCCACTAGTGTTATTATGTTTGTCCGGTGTCTCAGAGGAAGAGGGAGGAACGCAATCCAATGCATTTCATAGAATGACGTGTCCTACAAAAAACCTCTGACTACAGTTTCAGGCCTCATTTGTGAGTGACCAACACGCTTTACTGTCAACTATGAATTAAAGTAAATAAGAAACAGCCCATCAGACATGAGCCCAGGCAGCAGACAGACAGTGTTTCCATTGTCCTGACAGCAGATCTCCATGCTGGAGCTGCAGCAGCTGTGATTGCCAGGAAGAGAAATCACTGCGCACTTCTCTAATGCAAATGCAAACTAAATAGTACTTCAGGATGAACTCATGAGAGGAACTCACTTTTGGCTTTGCTGAGGTGCAGGGAATGGTCGGACACAGGCACGCGGAAAGCCTCCCCAGGATAGACGTGTCCTCCCGCGTAGTTGTGACACTGGGAGTCTTTCACTTCCTCCGCAGATGTGGTGAGGAAGAGGAGGAGAGCGGTGCACAGGATACTGAAAAGATCCCTCTTTAAACTAATGTGCAAGAGAAACTCCATTGTGTCGTCCCTTAGAAAGGACCTAACCACTATCTGGAATGTGTTTGGTTTTCTGGCAGGATTTGAGAAGCCGTCTTCCTCCGCCTCTTCTTCTTCTTCATTCAGTTTCTGCAACACCTGGGGTCCTTATAGTTGCATTACTGCCATCTCCTGGAGCTAATTAGCCCCTGACGTCCACTTCCCTTTTACCACATTAGTTCCTCTTTTACCCTACAAATAAATCCAAATATGACCTTCCCATAATTCAACTAACCTTTATTGCTCGGCTCCACATCTCCCCTTACAGTTTATTTATGTATACACCGTACAGTGTCTTTTGACCGAGTATCATACAAGTCCTCTCCCAACTTTTCTGTTAATGTTGTTCTACTTCAAATATATTAAAATATTTTCTTAAGGATAACATTAAGAAAAAACGTAGGTCTGTGAGAAATAAAAAAAGTGTCGAAATGTGATCCACTGTATGTTGGCTCCTGGAAGTGATCGACTCGTCTCTAGCCGCCCCTATGTGGTAAATATCAAAATAAACTCATTTAAAGTTTTTGGAAAATATGCCATTCAGCACCTTTCATGTGTGAAACGTCATCCACCAGTATTGTTACAACAAACATAGAACACATTGTTATCAACAGGATACTAGCATTACTACTGCGTTAGTTCTCAAGGCTGTTGATTTGAAACAGTCCATTAATGTGGACCGAACCAGAGCTCAAATGCAAATGAACTTAGTAGCCACTATCTAAGCCTGTTAGTTGTCTACTTTATGTCCAAGCTCAGTTACTGTAGCTTAAAAAACACCAGGTCAGGTTGACAAATCAGCCAAACCTCAGTTGTAAAAATAATTTTGTCTTAAATCAGAACCACCTCACAAGTGTAAAAACTCAAAAATACTTTTATTGTAGCAAATATTTAGATGCTAACATTTTTCCAAGGGTGCTACCTCTACTATGGTTGAAAGACAGGCCCTGTAGCAATTAGAAATCACTAATTATGTTGCTGACAGTAACGTGCGATCGTCAGAGTTAAGTGAACATATGAGGTTAAAGCTGGGGAAAATGTACCCATCATACACACATACAAAGAGGAGTAGACAATTACAGTATCTTAGTCTTTTATTACAGTGGTGCACATAAAAACAATGTTTCCATGGAGCGTTTCCCTTCGTCTTCTTCCACCCCCTCAATGTAACAGTTCATTAGAAAAAATACTCACACCGTGGGCATCTGTTGTATTAAGACAGGTATTGACATTTTAAATTTAAGTCAGTCTTATTTTTTGCCGAAAGAATCACATCATAGAGAAACAACAACGCATTGCTGCAATGTTTAGGAACACCATTAACTGAAAGGCAGCTTGCTGTGTCGATAAGCAGGTTTGTTTTTTGCTAACCGAGGTGTCGGTACACTTTTCATGTTCAAGTACTTTGCAAGGAAAAAACTGACTGAAATTCAAAATGTCTGTGAATCCCTCTCCATTTGAGTCAATAATGTGCCACTGCTGATGTGTTGTTAAAGCACATAACACCTTGTGAGCACAACAAACAAATAGCTAGCCCAACAATACTTCCCCCAGCACCTCTCTTTGATCTGGAAACGTACGGCAATAGATGTTACAGATTGTGGTAATTGAGTGTAAGTATTTACACACATTTACATTAGTCATTGAATAATAGTCTTTCCGAATATATATATATATATCAATGAATGGTTTGTTTGTATCATGAAAATGAAACCAGACACCTGAGTATCTGCAAAATAAACATTTGAAACACCTCTCTGTCCAGATGCACAGGTAGCTGCTCAGACTGGAGTGAGACACAAACATGAGACGACACATTCGACAACAACACAAGATTTGCCAGGCACGTTTGGTTTGGCAAGATAAAATTAAATATTTCAAACCCTTCCCTTGGTATTCTTCGCCCTCTCTTACGTACAACATATTGAAACACTAACAATGGGGCCGGATTGAGGATCTTTTTAGTAACAGCAGTGTTTAAACTGAACGATTTATCATGTACACTTCAGTATTTTTTACAGTTCAGTGTTTTTATGAGATGAGAGGAGTGATGGAAAGACGTTTTTTTTTTTTTATTACACCTCAAAAGTGACCAGGGAGAATGATCTAAAGCAAATTTAGTGTGGACCAGATTTGATTAGCTTGGGTCCAGATTTACCAAGCCTTCCAATTTAGTGCTAAAGTTAAAATAGCCCAATAATCCTGGAAACACGAGCTAAAGTTATTTATTAAGCTTCCATTTTAAAACCAAGACAATTCATCAAAGGGGTTTAAATATTTAAGTTCATTCACAAGGGGAAGACTTTAAATAATCCACCAGTGTCAAGGATGGTACATTTAACTACTTAACATTAAATAAATGATCTTTATTGTGTTGACTTTGCAAACTGGTAATTTTACATTAACATTTAACACAAGATATAAATAAATATGGGAGATAATTTCATAAGACTATGCATCACTGCAGTAGAAATGCTCATAAGGTTGCTTCAATCTTTAAAGGTTTTCCAATGTAATGTTTTTATGACTCTTCTCAGAACATCTTTGTGAATATGGTCCCGGCTGTGTGACTGTACAGCGCTGAAATCCATTTACTGTCCCATGTCTAAGCTCTGGGTCTTAATTACAATGAGTGCGTATAAGTGAGTGGCTTAGGGAGATCAGATATTGTTGGGTGGAGGACCTGATGATAAGAGAGGATGAAAAAGCTTTAGCTAACAGACTTCAGCTTGGTCCACGGGTTCACGCCGCGCACCTCCATCGGGGTGTTGTCGTGAAAGATGTGGTTGCATAATTCTTCCAGTGGAGGCTCGGGATCTGTCGTAGCGAACTGAGCAGCGTCTTCAATCTCCTTCCTCACCGACACGTCGATCTCCTAAAGACAACACAGGAAGGACAGCGGTCACCAGACTGTTTAACCCCTCCCTCGGAACGTCAGGCAGTCGAAACGCTGGCTTTTTTAGTTATTTTCTCACATTCCCCGTTACATCCAATAGTACTCAAATGAAGATGAACAGTTTCTTTCACAAGGGGTCACAACATGTATAAGGTCTCAAATCCCAAAAATTCTACTTGAGAATATGAAAAACAAAATTTAAAAAATAATTTTTATTGGATATTTTGACTTGAAATTCTTCTGTTTATATGAAATCTTATTTTCTCATTTGACTGCACATTCTTACTTCTTAAGTTTTATATAAATATTTTATTGTATTACCGTAATTTTCGGACTATAAGGCGCACCTGAATATAAGCCGCAGCAGCTAAATTGAATGATGTGTACATATATAAGCCGCACTGGACTATAAG